CAGATCGGTCTATCCATTTCTGCATATACCTCGATCCGCTTTCCGCTTACCTGGGTTTTATACAACCATATCAGCCCCGCTGCATCCCTTCTTCCAAAAACTTACAACGTAATCCAATCGCCGAAAAAATACAGACGCATTGACCATTCCACATTTAGTGTAGCTAGTTGATGAGATTGTAATAGTTGACGAAACATTCTCTGTCAACCTGAATTTCTCACGCTGTTAGAAAACTTTGAACAACTTGCCATTATTGTTTTCACGTGTCAATTTGGATTCATTCGCGTGCTCTACCACGGATGGTTTCACTGTTTACACACACACTCTCTCTCTCTGTGTATGTGTGTGCAAGCGTGCCTGTGAGAATACATATACAACAACGTATGCATCAACGGTTCCTCGTTTGATTTTAACGCCCGCGAGAGGGCGCATGAAACGAAATCATTGTTCCCTGGTATGTCATATGTGATTTTATTGGATAAGGGGTACCGAGAATAAGAGACATGAAATCGGAAATCAGTAATGTAAATTCATGTGTGACGAGTTCAATTTAACTGAGATCTGTTTCCCCTAACGTTTCGTGTTTTAGATATTCTGTTTGGGTGCACTTCATGACATGTCTCTGAGCCGCACTTGTGATGAAAATCCAGGGAATGCGCAGCGATGAGCCGTATTGGACAGTAAACACACATCGCCGCCGGGCTACACTTTCCCGGAAGCTGGGATAGAGATTGGTTAGAAGTAGTTCGCTTCCAAGCGATTCTTACCAGAATACCGTGTGGTTCTTATTGTTGTTGTTGTTGCATGGATGAATTGTGAGAGACATATTGCTTATCAAGTGCGCGAAAGCAAGCAATCCAACCCAATAAATTTGCAGGAAGTGGATAATTTTTTAAACAGTCCTACGTAAGAAGTTCGTTTTTATTGTTTCGTAAACATACCGATGCAACTAAAATGTGACCAATTACCGACCGGGTTACGAGAAACTGAGGGATGGACTGAGTTTCCACAGAATCGGGTCCCAATTGCTCCCCACTTACAATATGACTTTCTTAAAGCGCGAATTATCAATTTTTCGAGTTCGGCCAAGGAAACCTCAGTGCTGCTCAAGTTGCTTTGGAACGCACTTGGGAATGGGGTTAGAGAAAGATGTCATATCACCTTCCTTTTGGTTTCCGGACGAATCTCTTCGGGTTGTTCGGGAACTCATTCCCTGAGAAATTTGGGCTCGTCACCAGAACGATGCGCTTTCGTTCCGCTTGTGTTTTTCTGCACCATTTGGCCAGAGCTTATATTCACATGCGATTCTTTTGTTTTTATGTCGATTGAGAAAACTTCAATACCCTCGGTGGGATTCGAACCCGCACATGGACGCCGACTATGCTTTTTGTACAGCGCACACTCTAGCAGCTGAGCTAGGAGACCACACCATTAGCAGTGATCTTTTCACATTCGAATTACCCATTCAACTTACAGCGGCATATGACATCCACCAGTTAGCATGTAAGCTGACAGACCGACAGGTCTTCCTTAGAATCAGTGTCATCAGTGCAGTCGGTGTGGCCTCGTAGTTCAGCTGGTAGAGCGTGCGCTGTACGAAAGCGTAGGCGGCGTCCATGCGAGGGTTCCAATCCAATCGAGGATACTGAACTTTTCGCAATCGACATACAAACTTCAAATCTGCCAAACAGCTATCCTTTGTTTTCCGACTGTCTCTTGAGTTCATGTGATTAAATCACAACGAGATGTTTTCGGCGATGAGAGACAGTGCAACTGTTTACGGGGTTTTGTCTCCGAATAATTCAGTACTGCTTGAAATAGTAAGTTTGTCTCAACACAGCCGTCAAGGAAAGGAACACAAGGTTTGATTAGCACTATAGTTTCATACAGAACTCGGTGTCATTGTTAAGGTCTGGCTGGTATGCATCGCTAAAATTATCTCATACGTGTCTACAATTCGTCATGCAGTCGATCGCTCACAAAATGTATTCCAAACGATACTGGCATGGTATACACTCGTTCATTTACGCGAATAAACTGGACTATTTTAACACACACACACTCTCTCCTTCCGGTGCTATATTTCATTTGTAAACTCGGATTGCACATGGCCTACTCTTTCCATCGGTATCAAATATTTTGGCAGCATGACCAGGCGTCTCTGTCCGGAAACCTGAGAAGCGAGCTCCCACGGAGTCGATAAGTCGATAGTTACCGTGGTTTGACACTAAGCACGCTTTAAATGTGACCGAGGCATTACTACCCCTGTACGGATACCTGAGGTTTAACACAATTTAGCCACAGTGAAGTTAGTTATCATCCATTCCCACTCCATTCACTTAGGTGCGCTCAAAGCAATTCCTGCAAGCTCTTAGGCTCGTTCGGGCAAACTGGTGGCACGTGACATGTTCTCAAGCAACAGAACAGGCGATAATTCGCTCTCTCTCTCTCACTCGTGGTGGTGGTGGTGGTTGTGCTGGGGTTTGAACTAAGAACCTGTAGTTTGCTTTTCACATGATCTTGAACACTGTCCCATCTTTTTGTTTTGCGTTCAGTCTGAGAAAAAATATTGGTAGTCTCGTCCGATGAAATCTAAGCTCATCATTACTCACATTACTGTGTACATATCCCAAATGCGACCGATAAACCTTGGAAGCACTTTGAAAGTAATCTGTTCACATTTTGTAAGTGGGCAACAGCAAGTATTCACCAAACCCGTACTGATTCAAATCCTCAAACGCGTGCACACACACACATACACACACACACACACACGTCAGCACATGACCAAATGGTTTCTCATAATCAAAATCGCCTTTATCACTGCGAGTCAGCGACAGAACAGGATGAGTTAAACTACTCGTGAGCATCAAAATCGTATCGTTCTGTTACACTGTTTGCTTTTAATTCGTCCCTGGTTCGGACTTGCGTCTCACCACCTGTGCACCATTGCACGAATCGCTTAATTGTTATGATCACGCCAAACAAAATTGTGGCAGATTGATGGAGTCGTTCAAGGTGCATGTGGTTGATAGCTGTTATTGTCTGCGTGCGTTCTACAACGCCGTGGCTGTCTATCTAATGTGCCGCACCGACAGTAAGCCTAGTAGAGATAAATGGTCATTTGTGTTTTCTCAGGTGTACACACAAACACAAGTAACGGGTACAGTAAATGAAATGTTTTCCTGGTTAGTCATTTTAGTGAGCTCTTATGAATTGTCATTCCATAACACAAAATGGGAATCCGGTGTTTTTTTTCCTACACAAACTCGACCATACCACTTTGATCGACAGACACTGTATTTCAAGATTAAAGTTGATGTGACCTTGAATTAGTGACATGAAAATTACCTGAAATACGTTTATCGATTTTTGAGGACTGGGTTGACACACATGTTCAACTAGACCGGATTTGCAGGTGTTTGAATCAATTCATTTAAGTGTAATACCCAAACATCTGACTGGACTGTTCCTTCGTGCGGCTCGTGTCATTGTTTCCCCGATCTAGGTCTTATTTATATTGCCCAATACAACTTTTCATTTCATTAAGCCCACCTGACTCCCGCTGGATCCGGTTTTACTGAACTCAGTGTGCTCTAGTCTTTCTTTCCGATGATGCAATTTTGTTAATAAATTCGAAGCTAATAAATACTACGGTTTGTGATGCATTCTTTAAACTGAAAACATAGAATTTTGGAGAAAGTTCAAACTATAGATTGAACTTAATATTATTTCAATCAGACCGCCTGAGGGAAACATGGCCTTAAAAGTTTTAAAAGGAGATCGATTGTCTGTGAGCGTGTTTGTCTGGGTATGTGTGTGGTCTGTAAATAATACTTTATCACAGACAAAATTTACTGGACTCTTGAGACCCAATTCCGTGACATGTGTGGTACCAAAGACGTTTATTTTTCTTTCGACTGATAGCACGCGATTCACCTAATTCACAAAATCCACTGCATTAGCGCAATAAAATTGTCAGCTACTCTACAACCAAGTAAACAACTTCGAATTTTTTTCTAATTTAGTGTTGTGATTAACTTTACTACAAGCTAAGTGCTTAGCTAGTCATGAAATCAAGTCTCCGATGGTCTCAGCAATTGTTGTGAAAATTTTCAACTGATGATGTTTTTTTCATTGTTGACGAAATTCTATATAGTGTACTTTATCAGGATCTATGATCTGAACGGCTGTGCTAATTACGTGACATGGCGAATTGGGCCAGTGGCTCGTTTGCCTGAACAGCTGACCCACAGAGCATGAACGCGTACGACGTACGCCTCAGAATGACTGGACACCCATGAAATTGATGTGGACAAACGCCATAAATCTTGTATACTTTTCGAACAAATGCAAGAAAACAGCAAAAATTAAAAAAGAAAGGAATTGCGAAGCGGCTGCAATGTATGATTCACAGACTGACGGTGAAAATATGTTGCCTGTGTACCAAACGGCATACATAAGCAGAAAAATAGAATTCAAAGAACGAGTCAACAGAGTGTAAAAAGTGTTTTTTTAGGTGGTGCTTCAGTCAGCTTTTCCATTCTCTTTTACTCTGTTGTGCGCAAGTAACAGCATTCGTTGAAGTCTGCCCAGGTTGACTGTTATCTAATAATAGAGCAGTATCAGTGTTTAATAATTCTTTTCAGTTTATCTGGTATTCTCCAGCTCCATGTTTGCATTACCAATCGTGTGTGTGTAGTTCAGTCTGCAGCAAACAGCCGAATTATCATACCATCCGTAAACGGAAAGTCGATGGTTATAGACAGGCTGAACGGAGCATCCATTTACTTCGTCCGTTGTATTATTAGTCTGTTTGCCAGCTCTCTCGGACTATTTCGATCGATTTGCACTGATTCCTATATTTTTTTGCCTTTTGTTGCCCCATCGATTACTATGCATAGGGTCTTTTGTTAGAATAACATTACATATGCGTGTGCATACAACCACACACACACACACACACACACACTTGAGTATCGCGTGAGCCTGTTTGATCAATGTGCAGACCAGGGCACTGCCATCCTGGAAAACACGAGTATACGGCTGGATTGTCCATGACTTGGGAACTGTTTCACTATGCGGTTCTGCGCACAAATCGACAGTTCACGTAACTCTTCACATACTCGGGTGGCGTGTATGATTGTGTATATAAAACTACGTACTAATAGAAATCATGGAATAGAGTGCAACCGGATACCATTCTGTTTGAAATGGTCAGCCTACAACTGAACGAAAGATTTGTTCGAGAGTTAGCAAAAATGTCATGTGGAACATCACGCTTCCAAAAGATTCCATCACAAACAAGTTTATATTTAGATGATATTTGATGAGAAAGGAAAGAAGATTAACCTTCCTTTCTCGGTTGAGACAAGTCCTGGATCATTAGGTGGGGAAGGGCGCGGTGGTAGGATGCAGGGATCTCGATAGATTGCATTGCGGGTGAATGTGAGAATGTGTGTGACACTAGATCATCAAAGTAGAATCAATTACGCCAGAAAAGAACATTTGGGAGCAAATTTCCAGCACCAAACGATCGGTACTTACGGTCTTGTCAAATCTGAGTCTCCTTTTATTTCCAAATAGTTGTTTAGCGACACAGAAAGCATCAGTTTGGCCAATTTAGTGTCCAGTTGCTTATTGGGTGGTCACGGTCTTCTTTAATGAGCACTATTCATCTCTGTTCCATCACGACGAGACTGCACCTTGATGTGGTGTGATGGCTTGTGTGCCTCCATAACCCTGCGAGCTACACAGCTCCTGACTTCCTTCTTCTATTCACACCCGTCCCTGGAGAGGTCACATCAGCAAATAAACCCTGGGACTGGCAGCTTACCAGTCATCCCCCCTCCCGCTAGATGGACGTAGGAGCGGTGTACTTAGGTCTTCCTCTCGACGGTGGGAGAAGTCTTCGTATTTCATTGGACAGCTTCCACCCGCCCAAGATGGGCAGACCCCAGCCAATAAGGTGCTGTCCCATCCACGTTCCGCTTGTCTCATTGGGTGCATGAGGCTGAGGGCTGATCCCGAAAAGCGGACCGAAAATCAACGCACCAACGAACAACACACTGAACCGAAACCCGAAGACCTTGCGTGACAGGTCTATGGAAGCTCCCACAAATGTGCTTTGTTCATGCTCCCGCGTTGAATTTACGCCCCACTGCCTTGTGAATCAGACGTTTGATTTGAAGGCTCCGGTTCGGGTTCCCAAAGAAAAATCCCTTCGTCGGTGTGGGTAACGGTGAAGTATGCCGTGCCCTAATGTCTTAGGTACCCATATATTCGGTATGCGTTTTGCATCTTCAATGTGTAAAATATCACTTCAAGACTGGGTTGGTCCAGCACCTCGTCTCACTCTGACTGGGGAAGCAATAGAGGAAGTGGATAAGTTTCGTTATTTGGGCAGCTACACCTGGCGGACGCATCACAGATAACGTGTTGCCGCGCATACAAAAAGGTAGGTTGGCATTTGCCAACTTGAGACATCTGTGGTGCCATCGCGACATCGGGTTGTCTATGAACGGTCGAGTGTTTGCTACAGCAGTTCGGCCAGTCCTACTCTACGGTGCAGAGACTTGGCCATTAAGGGACCAGGATAAAAATAGATTGTCGGTTTTCGAATACCGCTCTCTACATAGCATGACACGAGTCTTTTGGGGTAACTGGACGAGCAATGCTCAGTTTGGGCGCAGAGTTTTAGGCAGTCGCGGTCGTCCACTGGAGCTAGTGATCGACTTCCATAGATTACGTTGGTTGGGGCATGTGTTACGCATATCGTCAAGTAGGTTGCTAAGGCGAGCGATGCGCGCCGAGGTAGGTAGAGGTTGAAAAAGATCAAAGATGGTCAAACTAAGACCTGGCATGAGGGTATGAAAACCCTAACCAGGAGACTGGGTCACGTGGGTCCCGTTAGGCTCCCTGGATGGGGGCCCCTAGATGATGGTCACAGAGGGTTAGAAACACTGAGTGATATGGCTGGGTGCCGAAAACAGTGATGCTCGTGCATCCACTCATTATTCCTAACACTACCCCGTATGAATTCTCCATCTTCCGCTTGAATTTGCTTTCAACATTCCAATCTTCATTCTGCTCTTTTACCCAAATGGGAAAGCAAAAGACAGCAACGAAAACTGGCTCATGAAAGTGCATGGTTAATGGTTCTAAAAACGGAACTGAACTGATTCATTTCTGTTATATATTATTCAGGATACATCTCATGAAACACGATGTAATGCTGTGACCGTCTGCGTTCATTCTGATCCTTGAGTTGTACTCTTCCTAGCTAAGAATGGAAATGTTTCGAAATCTATTTACAATTTTTTTCCTTATTTGAAAGAATCAAGTTGGGCACTAGTACAACCAGTCACACGTAATAACTGTCGATGGTATAGTCAAATGATTGGATGCAATTTTTTTTTTTGTTCGACTGATCCACATGATTCATGTGGCAACATAAACACCAGGATCTATTTTACATAGGGTGATTGAGAACTAATGGATGATCAGTCCGCATTCAATTCGGTTTTGGAAGGTATTTAGCTAAGGCGCTCAGCGGGTGTTCAGTCACACATGTCTCACCATACATTCGCCCCAGATCATTTCAACCATTTTGAGGATACGATCAATGAGCACACAAATCAATGACGGAAGTCCTTATGCGAAAAAGGAGATATGCGAACAAAAAGTGTAAAAACTGATGCAGTTCGACGGCGAACCGATAAGTGTTATATTCCTATGTTTATCGCTCAGTTCCCTCCTCTGTCTCTCTCTCTCGCACACACACACACACACACACACACACACAAACACACAAGGGGCACTCTGTCTCGGTCAAATTTTTATTTCCCGGACAATTGCTATCTGATTCTAAACNTGATCCGTAATTATTCATGCGGTATTCCGTTCCATATAAGAATCACTTATGCGGATCTCACTGATTTGTTGATGTGATTACCCATAAAATCACTCAGTTTTCGGAAATCACCGGGGAATTGACATTGTCAAGGTGCATCGATCACCTTGCCATACGTACTGTGTTGCTCGAACAAATGCCTGACTGAACGCCTCTAGTGTCCCGCGACCAATACACCAGTACCCGAAACGGCAGGCAATGAAGTGTATTGTGCAATGCTTGACTGAATAATCCGGAACGAAACTGAGGAAAAGGTGACCGTGAAAACATGGTGTAACAATTTTTCCCACCCGCTTCTCTCCCTCATCAGTCTGTACAAATTCTTTTGAAAGAACTCCCAGTCAGTGTTCATCAATACTGAAACCCTGAGTGGTCCTGGTGACTACACTGACTAGTGTGGTTTTCTGATCGCGTTTCTACTTTTTCCTGGAGGACTTTTTCCGCTCGGGATCATCCTCGAGCGGATTGGACGGACACGATAAAATTCTGATACTTCGTAGCAGGTTCACTTCTAGCGGGTTCGTTTCATTCCAGTCCCTGCATCTGGTCTTGGTGGTTGGTGACGGTGCTGGTGGTGTTGGTGGGATTCCAACACACGGGCTCCGGGGTGCTACGTTGGCCACGACAAAACGAAACCCTTTTCTCCTTTTATAACTGTTCGTTGAGGTAACTGAACTCTGCAAAGATGCTGTTCACGTTGATTCAGACTACGATTTCCACAAATTATTCCTCAACTGTATTTCTTTCGCTTCCAGTCTTCAGGTGCGGTTTTGGTTATAGTCAGTTCATTCTCATTCTTTTGTTCCCGTTTCGATTGCAATCGTCAGCCGAATTCCGGAAACCTCGTCAATTTCCCGTAGTCAGATCGAATTGAACAAATGCTTGATAGCCTTCCAAAATGTGCAAAAAAACCATTTGACCCCGGTAGGGTTTGCGGACGGGGAATAGTCCACTAGCCCTGTGAAAATTTCGAACTAGCTTCTCAGGGCACACTTTGCTCGTAACCGAATCGAATCAAATCCTTCATTACTCTCAGGTTAGATAGACACAATAAAAAGGTAACTAGCTCACCACTCATAATCTTGAGCAATTTGTTATTTTTGAATTTAAAGAACTCAATCGTTTTACCGTTTTTGAGCACCGTAGTTACGCTGCTGCCGGTGAAGCAGAGGCGTACAGATAGCCGTTACTATCCCGTCACGCACACACACACACACACACACACACCACATCATTGCAATCCTGTTTCACTGTCAACCTGATCGTGCTCCCCTGGGGATTCCGGCGGGATTTAAGGGGATCAGCTGTGATAGCGGAGTTTCTGCCTGGTGTTTATTTACCCAATGCATTGCCATATTGCATAGCGGAACCAACGAAAATGACAGATAAGACGAAGGTGAGAGTCAGGAGAGCTAAAGGGAACCGATGTAAAGGGTTGCGTGCGTAAAATAAGAATCTAAACAACGGTGCCATAGAGAGATTGTGCACTTTGATTTTCTCAACTGCGTACGTCCGATGACGAAGATCAGGACAACTCACATCTCAGTCATTATGGCAGATCACATCATATTTCACGTTTGTTTGGCTGGTGGCATAAAATCCGTGGGTTTTGGGCGACGCACGACAGCATATGTTCCGGTTACGTGTGTGTGTGTGTGTGTGTGTGTGTGTGTGAACTTTCATAATGCACCACAAATTGGTGCTTGAGTGTGTGTCTGAACGAGACACGGATTTTTATTGGAGCAGTACCACACGTAACCCCGGGGTAAACTTTCACCCTTATCCCTTGAAAAAATAGCCTCGTATTTTTATTTCACCCCTCCCCCATTCCTTCCTTGCCCTGGATTTTCGGGAGTAAAAGGACCAGTGATATTTTTGGAAATCTGTTATTCCTGCTGCGCTGCGCTGTGTTGCGCTACACCCATCACTTCATTGAGCCTCGGAGCTGTCATTCACGAGACTACGCAAATCCCTTCCGAGAAGCAACCGTGTGTCGGATCGATAAATAGCGCGGCCTGTGTGTGTGCACACGCGTTTTGCGCGCACGTGTGTGTGTGTGTGTGTGTCAGACGAGCACCGATCTCATTCAGTTTTTGCATTTCGCGCTAGTTTAGTGTTCTGCTTTGTTATCGGAATGACAGAATACGTACGATCAGAACGGAATGTGATGCAGGCGCATGGTAATAACCATACACACATAGCGAGGTGCACATAATACAATCCAAGCAATATCCAACGTCCACCCAATCGTCTCACCTCCCTCCCTTGGGTGCGACACACACACACACACACACGCGCACACACACATA